CGACATTAGAAAATTTCGTTGTACTTATTTGGTTGAGGCTTATCCACGAGGGCCTTCATCGTCAAGTCAAACAGAAATATGGCACAGAATTACGTTCCAGAACTTTGTCATCCATCAAACCCGAAATATCTCAAGCACTTGACTCACTTCTTGATAAATTGTCCTTCAATGATGAAACAAAAGTCATGCCATCAAAATCTCAACCAGTAATCACCAAATCATGTCCACTGTGTAAGCAAGCTGGACGACGAGATTATGAATCACACTACCTTACACAGTGTCAATACCTACCAGAACGTGACAAAAAGTATATTTCTATGAGTAGACTTGTTGACAGCCAAGAGATAACCAACATTACAGAAGATACTGATACCAGTTTTAGAGATGAATCTCCCACTCCACCACCAACATCTCGACTTGTGAACAATACCTAGCCAGTAAATCTTTCCAGACGAGTTGATGTGAAAGAGTCTTCATTCTTTACAGCATTCTACGATCATCATACAGTTACTGTCACACTCGACTCAGGTGCCGAAATAAATATGATACGGACTGCCCTAGCCAAAGCCATAGGTGTACCTACTACTGAGAGCACACAGACCGCAACATTAAGTTGATGGGAAAACCCCCTTATCCATATATGGCGAAGCCCATATAACCTTGGCTAGAAATTCCTCAAATCTCATTTTAGATGCACTTAGTGTAGACGATCTTGATGTCGACATACTCACTGGAATACCCTTCTTTGTCAACAATGATATAGCAGTACGCCCATCCAGAAATCAAATTTTAATTGGTGATAATACAACTATCACTGAGCGACGACAAACCATTTCAAAGATTTATTCAAGTGCACACATCCCCCGAGCAACAACAACTAATACTTTTTGGTGATTACATAGAACTCTCTCTACCTCCAGACGTTAAACCAAGTAATGGCCTTGGAACCCAGTATAGAAAGTCAAACCTCCAATGGGTGGCTTACACCTCAACTTTTTACACCTGTTGGCGGTGTTATTAGATAACAAACCCCATCATTTTGTTGTAAAAAACAAATGACCATATTTGTCCAGTTTTGCCCACTCTCGACAGATATGTGCACAATACTGAATCTGAAACCAAACCAACACACACTACGTCAGATCTAACCTACTTGGATAAGATTATAGTCGATCCAGATAACATCTTGCCATTAAACCTTAAACAAGAATTCTATAAACTACACAAACGCTACAGTTCTGTATTCGACCCAGTAATTGGATGTTACAATGGTGCCGTTGGACCCATCAAAGCCGTTGTCAACATGGGCCCAGTACAGCCTCCCCAACGAAAAGGACGCATGCCAGAATACCTAAATCTATCATTTCGCAAAAAGTTGGTAGTGACAGATTAGTAACAGCATTTGGAGAAGTCAATATAGTAAGCCACAACCATCCCTGATGCCAGATTTCCAGTCTACTCTTCAAATTATAGCTCAGTGGCAACATATTATCGTCTCTGATCTGACTAAAGCATTTTACCAGATACCTCTATCACATGATTCACTTAAATATTGTGGAGTAGCTACGCCTTTCCGCGGAGTCCGAGTTTATACTAGAACGGCAGTGGGTTATGCCCGGCTCCGAAACTGCTTTAGAAGAGCTGATGTGCCGTGTATTAGAGGATCTGTTACAAGAAGGCATGGTAACGAAAGTAGCTGACGACTTGTATTGCGGAGGTAATACACCCGAACAACTACTTTACAATTGGAAACGCACACTTGATGCCTTACAGAAATGTTATTTACATCTTTCATCCGCCAAAACCACAACCTGTACCCGCAAAACAACAATATTAGGATAGACATGGAAAAATCTCCACAAGCCCTCATATCATAGCGACTCTTAGCTCAGTCTCCCGCCCAACTAAAGTTAAAAGGTTACGTTCATTCATTGGAGCCTGTAAAGTTTTAGCACGTGATGTGCTTGATTGTGCTGCCTTCTTAGTTCTTTAGAGAAAGCTGTTGTTGGACAAGACTCAGAGTCAAACATGCAGTGGGATGAAAGCTTAGAAGAAGACTTTCAACGAGCTCAAGATCATTTGAAAGTTCACAAAACCATCACTTTACCCCGTTACACTGACAAATTGTGGATTGTTACAGATGGATCCGTAAAACAGTTTGGTATCGGCTCAACATTATACATTCAACGAAGAACTCACATGTACCTTTTTAGTGCCAAGCTAAAGAAACATCAAATCACTTGGTTACCATGTTGAATTGAGGCTCTTTCCATAACCGCAGCCATTCGCTACTATTCACCCTACATCATTCAATCCAGTCAACGTACCTCCGTCTTGACTGACAGTAAACCGGCGTTGAGGCCTATAGCACGCTTTGTCGTGGTGAATTTTCTGCTAGTTCCCGAGTCACCACATTCCTATCCAACGCCATCCGATAACAAGTTACCATCAGTCATCTTGCCGGAACAGCCAATATACCTTCTGACTTCGCCAGTCGAAATGCACCCCTTTGTTCCGAACCCCTTTGTCAGATATGTTCCTTTATCAACACCATTGAGGAGTCCACAGTCCAGGCCATTTCTGCTGACGATGTACTTGCCGTAAAACTACCATTCTCCTCCAGATCAGCCTGGTTACAAATTCAACATGATTGTCCAGATTTACAGCGTACGCATGTTCACTTAACAGAAGGCACTAGACCATCTAAAAAAGTCACTGATATAAAAGATGTTAAAAGGTACCTTCGATCTGCACAAATTACTAAAGATGGCCTTTTTATTGTTCGTAGAGAAGAACCTGTAGCCCAAACAAGAGAATGCATCGTAGTTCCAAGACCTGTACTTGGATTACTTACAGCCTTACATTTAAAGTTTTGTCATCCGTCCAAACATTAACTCCGACTACTCTATCTCAGAAATTTCTCGGCATAAGACTTGGACGCTGCCAACGACCAATCAATGCCATACTTGCTCCTCTCTTCAAAAGATTCCACCCTCACCCACCTTACGAGGCACCGAAACTCCTCCAAACTCTATTGGGATAAATTTTGCTGCAGATGTGGTCAAGCGTTACCGTCAACTTGTATTAATTCTACGTGAAACCGCCACTTCTTACACTACGGCCAGTTTAATTGAAAATGAACAGAACACCACGTTACGTTCAGCGCTTTTATAGTTATGCCTCAGTACCATACCAGTTGATTGCCAATCCGTCAATCTCCGAGTTGATCCCGAGCCTGGATTTACGTCCTTAATTAATTACGAACTACTGAAAACTTATAACATTTACTTAGATATTGGACGGACCAAGAACATCAACAAAAACCCCGTTGCTGAAAAGGCGATAGATGAATTTACAGATGAATTGTTAAAATTCGAACCCCATTGCACTTCAATATCACCATATCACACATTCTGTTGTGTGTTCTCGTCTGAACGCTAGGATAAGATGTCGAGGACTCTCTGCCAGAGAAATGTTGACTCTCCGAGATCAATTTTCCGTGTAATCTCAGCATGACCTTCGGTTACACAACCATCCGTTCAGTGAAAAATCTAAAGCATGTGGGCGTTGTCCAGCAAATCCCGACTCATTTCAAATTGGTGACATTATTTACCTTAAGAGTGACCGCAACAAACGATCAGCACGTGATAGATATCTTGTCGTAAATAATAAGTGGTGTGAAATTCAGAAATTCAATTTAGCAAAGCACCTTGACCGACGTTTAAACGTCGTAAAACGGACTTTCATGGAGTATTTTAGATTCGAGATTATTTTTGTTAAAACACACAAGTTATAATACGTTACATTTTTATTGCCGTTTTAGTTTAAACGTAGTCGGGTATGTTTTATGTCAAAACGTTGGACAAATAAGTCCAAGTTAATTTTCCAGGTACGCTTCCTGTTGAAGGCAAGAAGAACAAGATTGCGTTGGCGAAGCTGAGTCATAGATCGTCGTTGTGGTGAGTCAACGCGAGTAAGAGTTGAAAAGCTGCTTTCACACACATCGGTACTAGAAACAAATGTGGCAACGCTTGCACCCAGTGCATATAATTTAGGGAAACCAATTTCTGCTCGTATAGTTTTTGAAGAACAAGATTGGAGTCCTGCTTTTCTGTCTTGGCAACGTTATCTTGGAGAAATTGTTATGCTTCTCGAGGCCCTTTCCAGTATCACCTACAGCATGCTTCCAATCTGTGTAGCCTTCAGTGATGAATTTTTATGCACCCGCAGATGTATTGTGAAACACCCGACATGGAAATCAAAAAGGGGCGTCCCTTGACACTGAATACTCCAGCCATGGAAATCGATCATACCAGCTGTTACTAAAATGGCGCCCAGACTTCGCTGGAAATTTTATTCTCGGTTGCTTTGGAACGTCTTCTTTTCCAATGTCACCTGGTACTCCTGTCTTTTCAGAGCATCTTGGTACTGCATCCGTTGTGTTGCCCGCTGTGGTTTTGAGTAGTATATGTCTTTTCAGATATTGCGCATCCAGTTTGATCCGGTTTTGAGATGACAGGTATATGTCTTTTCGGATATGACGCATTTCACTTCTGCGCATGCGCAGCTTTTTCAATGCGTCATATCCGAAAAGACACAACTGTTAAAATGTATTATAACAGACTCCCCAAACTGTTAAAAATGTATTATAACAGACTACCCAAACTGTTAAAAAAATATATCATAACAGATTCCACCAAACTGTATTATAAATTACCCAAAACCACAGACAAGATTCACTAAAAATAATACATTATAAAATAACCGCATTAAAAAAAAATAAAAATGTCTTTAATTTTAAAACACGAAAAAAAAAAATTCGAAGGAGACGGTTTCTTTTCTGCGCTAACATCTCTCATCCCCAAAGTGGCCAATTTTGTCTCAAACAACAAATTTCCTCAGGAGTAGATGCAGTGAAAAGATCTAATGATTCATTTCTATCGCTTTCTCCTTGTATTAAATCTTTCGTATTAAAAATATATGGTGTTTATTGAACAAATATGTCTTTAATAAATGTCCATCCTCCTAAAACAAATTTCGATGCGGGAGACATTCAAAGTCATTGGGTTCTCTTCCTGGATTCCCATGGGCAAAATATCCCGGAGAAAAACATCTCCCAGGGCACAATTATACAGGTCCAGGCACTAGGTTAGATCTGCGTTTAGACGAAAATGATAATCCCAAACCAGGGGAAGAACCCGTTAATAGAGTTGACACAGCAGCGCTCAAACACGACATACTGTACAGAAACAAAGACATAACATTCAGACACCAAGCAGACAAACAAATGATAGACGAACTCGAAAATATTCCCAATCCCACTTTCAAAGAGAAATTACAGAGGGCTCTTATCATAAAACTCTTGAAGGCAAAATTGAAATTGGGTATGGGCATAGCAGACGAGATTCACAAAGAATTTCGAAAAAACAAACATTACCTCAAAGTCAGAGTTTTTGATAAAGATGAAATTTGGTCAGCCGATTTAATCAACGTGCCAGTCGAGAGAGGGTATTGTTTGACGGTGATCGACATATACACGAGATACGCTTGGGTCTTTCCCTTGAAAAACAAATCGGGTCTGACTGTCAAACAAGCATTCGAAACCATAATGAAACAATCCGACAGACGACCCCTAAAGTTGTGGGTTGATAAAGGAAGCGAATTCTACAACAGAAATGTGAAATCTCTGGGGTTCGAAATTTACAGCACGCATAACGAAGGTAAGGCCGTAGTGATAGAAAGATTCAACAGGACTCTTAAAAGCAAATTATTCAAGAAATTCACGGAATTGAAATCTCAAAAATGGCTTAAAATATTACCAGTTGTTGTCGACGAATACAATAACAAAATACATTCGTCTATAGGTGTGACGCCAACGCAAGCCTCTAATAACCCGAATATCATAAAGTCCGTCAACACTCGAAACAACTTTGAAAACGAGCAATTAGCAATTTGAATATTAAACCCAAATTCAAAGTTGGAGATCGAGTTCGTATTTTTAAATATAAACCATTGTTTCAGAAAGGTTACGTCGGCTATTGGACTAACGAGATATTCATCGTTGATAAAGTAAACAACACATCACCTCCCACGTATGAATTGATCGATCAAGACAAAGAACAAATCATAGGAAGGTTTTATCAAAATGAACTTCAAAAAACTGACTTTTAAAAATGAATCTCGAAAATGAAGATTTAGATGAAAGGTTAAGAAATTTAGATGTCGACAAGCATTTACGCTCTCTTAAATTAAGATTTTTTAAATTTAAATTAAATTTATCTTCAAAATATTATTGAATGTGTTTTATCAGAATGTTATACAAGTTTTTTCAAACACAAACTACGTATATATTTCGTCAATTGGGTCTTCAGCAATACTTACCGCCTACTTCGAAAAACACCTAAAAAAAATCAACTTAAAAAATGAATGCATTTCTTGATAAATACGGAAAAGACACGACCACAAAGTTTCAACTTGTGAAATGGGCCAAGGAGTTGAACGTATCGCCGTTTTATTATTGCATGCGAGATGAAATTGATGAACTGAAATACAAAAAGGTAAATTTTACGCCATCACAAACATTCATACTTCGGATCAAAAAGGAGTTCATCACTCTGCTCTACACAAAGATTCTTCGAATAACTTTTATTTCTTTGATTCTTTCGGTCTAGAACCGACAGAAGAGATAACGGAATTGACTAGCAAACCAATCAAATGTTCTATGTTTCAAATTCAAATGCCAGGACAAAAGCTGTGTGGACAGCTGTCGCTTTGGGTTTTATATCGGTTGAGTTTGGAAGAAAAGTTTGAAGAAATTATAATAAATTTAACTCAATAAAAATGGCAAACAAGTTTGGATTAGGGTCTTTACCTCTAGAATCTAAAAATTAAACAAAGCGAAACCTTTTTTCGTGGATCAAATCCGAGATACCTTACAAGGGGATATCGTTATGAACAATTTCAAAATAACTAATTTAAAGTTTCCAGGAAACGATAACGATGCCGTGAACAAGAAATATTTACTGGATCAAATAAACGCAATTCAAATAGATAAGGATCATGTTGAAAATAGAATAACTGACATGAAAAGATACCTCAGACTAAATATTAAAAATCTTGTGGACGAACCCAAACTACAACAAGAGTTAACGAGTTTGAAACGTCTTATTCAAGTGGATAAAACAAGTCAGTTGCAAAATTTAATATCTAAATTAGATGATAAGATTACGAAGGTAAAAATAGACGTCCAACGTTTAATAGACAACCCAAATGTAAACGAGGATAGATTGAAACGAAAATTAACCACTTTGGAAAGAAAACTTGGCGACTTGCTAGCAGAACTAGACAAGACCGCGGACAAAACCGAGTTACAAAATTCGATATCCAATTTGAACGAAAAGATCGCGAAGCAAAAATCAGATGTTCAAGATATAATTAACACATTTCCCATTGACAAAGATACGTTGAAACGACAATTGACTGCTTTGGATACTAAAATCACGGACGAATTAGAAAAAGAAGTGGGTGTGATTAAAAACTTTCTTCAAAATAAATTTCGAGATGATATGAAAAATTATATTAAAGAACAGGTCAATCTTTTGGTATCTAGAATTCATGACGATTTTTTGAGACAAGAGAGAAAGTTGACCAAATTAGAAGCTATTGTCACGGACAAATCGTATTATTTCAATCTTCCATTCGAAAGTGACACTGTCTTCGATAGAAAAGACTAAAGTTATAAATCAAACAAATACGGATTCAAAGCAGAAATAAAAGTGAGTTCTCTCGCATACGGAGAACCTAAGCACGTATTCGATATCGGCGAAACGGAAGCGTTTACTTTTCGAGGTAATTGTCTGATTCGAATAGAATTTCCCATGAAGGTTAAAGTCAATAAAGTAGTCTTCAAACAAACCGGTAATGCCGTCAAACATATTTCATTATTCAATGATGGTAATTTGGAGGAGAATATACGTTTGATTGATAAAAGGGATCAGGAAATTGAAACGAAAAATGGTAAATATGTAGACACTTTTAAAATGGAAGTAGAAAATGATAAAGATATCATTGGAATCAAAGATTTAGATATGATATTGGAGGCGGAAAATCCACCATCAACCAACATTGTCAAAATTCCACGACGCTTACACGTACACGGAAAAATAGAATCGACCAGTCATGAGTTTTTACGAACAACAGACTTTGAATACGTAAAACTGTATTTTGTTTTAGGTGGAAAATACACCTCGATCGATGTTCATAAAAGTCAACAAGAAAGAGAGTTTATAGTACATTTATCGTTTGCCGAAGGTTCTGACTCCATCTTTGAAGTTGGTGGTTTTATTTCTAGAGCCAAGATAAACATCGAAAAAGAAAAAATAAAATATTCCTATCATCTTAACGAGGACCATACGAAAAAAGAAATGTCGTTAGTACGCGTAAATGCTTTTACTTTTAATACCCGCAAATATAATAATGCTAGGCCAAACAAGCACGCTCTATACGATATTCCGTGGTTCCATTTATCGGAAATTCACTTAATTTAACGACTTAAAAAATGGAACTCGAAAGCAGACAACAATACATGATAGACAAACAAGAAGAGTTGAAAATACAGTTAAGACAGTACAATACATGCAGGAAAACATGGAGTAGAATCGATTCTGTTTTCAAAACAGCGAGCACAGCTCTAACGGTAGGAGTAACGGTGGCAACGTCCGTGACTGGTGGATTAATGCTTCCGGTCATTGTCCCAACCGTATTGGCTGCATTAACAGACATTCAAACGACCTCTTGCGGTCTCATAACTTTAGGTTTCACGAGCTCATTATAAAAAGAAAACGGATATCTTGAATATGTATCTTAATCAATTGTACATCTTTTTCGAAAGATCGAGAGAAGACAAGAACATAACAGTTGAAGAATTAAAGGAATTTAATGAAATTTTGGACAAATTCCATACAGAAATATCAGCGGTCAAAATAAAGAAATAATCAAAAATATATACTTAAAAAAATATGAATACACGATGAAACATTGATAGAAAACGCCCTATTTTCCGATGTTATCAAGGCTATCTCTGAAAAATTTAAAACATTCAAAGGACAAATTAAAATAGATTGGAGAGATAGTCGAGGAAGGGAATCACAGACAATACATGTCACTCCTCGGTTTCAATGCCAAAACTTTTCACAATATCTTTTCAAATATGGACAAAAAATCTGATGCTTCTTTGAATAAATCAATTATGTTATCACTTCGTGTTTCACTTTGTGAAATATATTCCTTTAATACGTTACAAATTTCATCCATTTTGTTCGTGTCAAATGATTTTCTATTTGCCGAAACTCTTCCTCATTTAATAGATCGTCTGATAGAATTTCTTTTAAAAGGATTAGTGTGCGAATAAACTTTTTCTACGTTTTCTTAGTTCTTTCTATTAACATCGGTCGATATTCAAGAAATAGTGAAAGCCGATGGACGAATTAGTAGAATATTAGATGGTATAGTTTACGAAGAAAATTTTAAAACTCCACCCTATAGAGATTATATTTTAATTTTGAGAGATCTAAGAAATAAATATAAACGAGAAGGTAATATCGTGGGTAGTAATTGCATGAAATTATTAGGTAATTCCTTGTATGGTAAATCAATTCAGAAAGATATATTTACTACTAGACATTTATGGAATGAAGCAACTTTACAGGCCAACTTTGATTCACGTGTTAAAACCTATGAGAAAATTAATGATACTCAATATATTGTTGAAACAGAAATTGAAGAAAAAGAGATTACTACCGAAGATAGTAAATCTATACGACTAACACCTAGTCATTTGGGATCATTCCTTTTATCTCACAGTAAAAAAATAATGAACAATTTCATTCACGTCATAAATGGATTTTATAAACCCGAAATATACTATACCGACACCGATAGTTTGTACATTTCATCCAACAATTGGAAAAAACTAAACAGAGCTGGTTTGGTCTCCGAAAAAGACTATTGCAAAGGTAAAAACGATTACGGTGACGGTGGAATTATATTTGGTTTATATTTAGCACCAAAAGTCAAATACAACATCGTTTTGACTTCTGATGGTGTTTTAAAAGAAAAGAAAGCGTTTAAAGGTTATTCTAATGATAAGATAAGTGTAGAAGATTACGTTCAGTTAGCGACATGATGTGTCGAACGAATTTAAGAAACCATGGGAAAAAAGTTTCACCAATGGAGTAGTTATTCCAAATGATAAACAAGTTTTTAGAAGTTATTTGAATAATGTTAAAAGAAAACCACCAAACAATGAAGGAATTATGTATCCTTACAACGACAAAGATGAGTATAGTTTTGACGAAAACTATGAATTTGATGATTTCGATTATCTTTCTAATCAAGAAGAGAATGAAGATTATTTTAAATGAAGTTGAATAATAATTTCTCCGTTGCCAAAGTCTATAAACCTGTTTTACCGTCTTTGATTTCCAGATTTATATCTTTGATCATGAAAGAACTGACTGGTAAATAGGTCGTTTGAAACGGTTTCTCTATAATTCTGTATCCGATCGGCACCGTAAAAGTCGGTATGCTGTATATGATTTGGCGTTTGTGCTTGTTGAAAAATCCACCGTTGATCAAATTACAGTGAATGTTGATCACGTCGATGTCGTTCTCGATGTTGGCCTTGTGTGGCGCCAATGTTATTTTCCTAATGTCCTAATTATAATACCATTATATTCAATCGGTTTGGGTTCTATATGAGGTGTGGGTTCTAAAGCTAATTTCTTTTTAATATCCTCTTGAGATTTTAATATGGGTTGAAATAGAGTTTGTAGATTTTCTGTTAATCCGAGTTGTTGTAATTTGTATTTTTCAACTTGGGTCTTTATTTTATTCTTAGCTTTGATATATTCTCTATTTCTTTTTAAAATGTTATTCCAATCCGTCATTTTTATATAAAAAAAAATTTAACAAATGTTTGTCATAACTCTTTCACCCGCGGGTTTTCTAGTATTAACGAATACATATCCATGATCATCCGGGTTTCTCCATTGTGCTTTACAATCCTTTTTGAATTTATCTCTGTCCATTCCGTGATTTATCGACTGAATGATTTGAGATAAATCTTTGTCGTTTAGTTCAAACAGCAAAAAACAATTTGCGTTCGTTCTGATAAACATGGCGTCCATTCCGTAGAAAGATTGGGATTATATGCAGTGACAGTTGTGATGTCTTCCTTTCGTGAAGAATTCTTGTTGAACGGTTTGACTTTTTTGTGCCACGCAGTCGTCAAAGACAATCAAGTTCTTTCGGTGGTTGTCGATTTTAGTCAAGTCTAAATCGTTGACGTTTTTAGTCAGAAACATTTTGACGTCGGTCGGTTTCAGAGAAGGATTTTTTTCTTTGATAAAGCCGTCTAAAATGTCTTTTATTTCCGCGTTCTCTTGCAAGTCTTCGTTGCTTTCGTAGTAGTGAAAAATGTCTTGAACTTCTCCTTTCGAGATGTATTCCAAAGCTTTGAGAAACTGATAATAGGATTGTTCGGGAGTAGTCGTGTAAATATACAGAGACTCGAAATCTAACAGGTTCGGTGTTGTCAACATGTTAAAAGTGAGATAAGTCTTTCCACAACCCGAAGATCCGCAAATGCACATGAGCATGGGGTTGCTAGGAAATATGTCCGAATGTTTGAATTTCTTGCCCATTTTTATTTATTACATTTTCGTACCAAAAATCACCCCGTTGCCTTTATACTTTGAAAGAAAGATTCCCTCGCCCGAACGTATGTTTTTTTAAAAATATGGCGTTGCCCCTGTGTTTGACCTTCATTTCTCCGGTGTCGATTTTATCTATTAATTTGCTCAATCCCTCTTTAACGGTTTTCTTGGTTTCTTCGCCAAATCTTTGTCCGAATTCTTTAACCGTCCCTAATATATCTCCTACTCCCGAACCTCCTCGTGCTTCTCTTTCCATTGCCAAATTGTGTCTACGTGCTTCGGCGTTTGCAGCGGCTTCAGCTTTCTTATCGTTGACAGCTTTGGCTATCCCAGCAGCTCCACCAGCAGATGCACCAGCTGCAGCTAAAGACTAAAGGTAAGAAAGGAAAAACTCCACCTTTTTTAGTTAAATTCTCATCGATTCTTTCCAAGTCTATATCGTCTCTGACTTTGCAATGTTTGTATTTATCGATAATCTTTTGGGTTATGTGCACTTTTTTACCTTTGTAAGTTATTAGAGTCGGCGAATTCGTTTCCATAGCTTCTATTATTTTCATATCTAAAGTTTCTGGTTTCATTTTTAAAGGGTGTTTTTTTATTCAATTCTTATCATTCTTCTATCTGATATTTTAATCAAATGTTTTGCTTCTTCCAGCAATAAACAGTAGCCGGTCACATCTCCTTGTGTTTTATCGATGTGAATATTTATGTTTACCCCTGTTTTGAAAAGATCTTCTTGATGAGCTGACAGATAGAAACAAAAGATTCAGACTGAGGCGTATTTCCAAACAATTCGCACATGTTTTTATAGTTTCTGTACAATTCGTTTTAATCTTTTTTGGAAGGATCAATTGTCAAAGGTTGATTGGGATAATTATCGTTGTTCAATCTGACTTGAACTTTGCGAATGATGGGATCTTGAGTATGGTTCAATGCCACTCTGAAAATGTTGTTGTTGTTTGTCTGAGAGTCTGGCAAGTTTTTGAAACCGACCATTAGATATCTCGTTGGTTTGACGATGTTGGTGATTGGCCACGTGGTGGATTCTCCCGTTAAAGTCATGCTACCTACCGTGTTACGACGAAGAAAGGCAATTTCGATGTCTTTGGTTAAAGAGTTGAATATTCTCGTTTCCACTTCTACGGAAGGTGTGTGTAAAGTTGGATGTTCGTTATTTCCAATTTTGCGTCAGAGTTGTTTTCACCAAAGAATATCTTGTTGTCGATTATTTCTCTTAGCAAATGAATTTATACGGTAAACCTATGGAAACCTTTCTGTGTTCCAAGAGACCAAATAAAGGATACAACTTCCAATTTACGTAATTACCCCATCTGTTGTTCTCGACAGCATTGTTGTATTGAAGCGCTCGTTTTTTACTCCGCGAGTCACTCTTTCCAGTGTGTTTCTAGCAACTACCCTTATCTGCGTCATTTGCTACAGTTCTGACCGGTTCTTTTAAAACTTCTCCGTCACCGACATCGGGAATCCATCCCGAAACTGAATCGTTGTTTTTAGGATACAGAACCGTTTTCAACATTGTGTCAAACTCGACGGGGTGTTTTATGGTCTCTATCGGATTTGAACCAGCTTCCAAAACCATTTCACTGAATAAAGACGGAAAGAAGTTGTTTTCTAAAGTCGTGTTGGTTTGTGGAATTCGATTCTGAGTGGCGTCTTTGATTTTGAAATCGCATCGGAAATGGGCATCGGAAAGCAGCAACCAATTGGACAACGAATTAATTTCAAAGGTAACTCTTCCTCCGTCGTTTATTTGGGTCTTTGTCCCTACCGATGGTGAGATGATTACGTAATCCTCTTTCTTCTTGTTGAACGAATATTGAATCGGATCATACAATTGAAAGATTGGATCCAATCTGTAATTTTTACTTGCCATTTTTATCCAATGATTTTAAACCCTTTTCCTTGTTTTTCTAGGGCTTGTCGTTCTAGTCTCTTGTTTCTTAGTTCTCTTATTATCTGCAGATCTTTAAGTTCGGCAGATTTTTTCACTTACTCCTGCTTTTGCCACAGATCCAAGAGCTTGCGCTTCTGAGGAAATGGGGGATTTGTTGTTTGAGACAAAATTGGCCACTTTGGGGATGAGAGATGTTAGCGCGTCTCCTTCGAATTTTTTTTTTTCGTGTTTTAAAATTAAAGACATTTTTTTTTTTTTAATGCAGTTATTTTATACTGTATTATTTTTAGTGAATCTTGTCTGTGGTTTTGGTGTGATGGGTTGTAAGTCATTTGGATCACTGGATGAGAATGTAATAGGTCTACTATTGACTTAACACTTCACTTCTGAAAATACAGTTGACATCTCATTCCAAGATAAAGTTTGTTCTCCAACCGAAACTTTTAAAGCATTTTTCACTTGTTTGATTAGACTTTCAAACATTCCTCCTAGATGAGGACTAAGTGGTGTATTAAACTTCCACGATACTTTATGAAGCATTGCAAAATCTTCTATTTGAGATTTCCCATTTTCAAATAACTGTTTGAGTTCTTTTTGGGCCCCAACAAAATTTGAACCATTATCTGATATAATAACACTGGGCCACCCATGTTGAGCTGCAAATCTCCTTAAAATATGAAGAAAAGCTGATGTTGAAGGATTTTCAGCAATGTCCAAATGTATGGCTCTGGTTGTACCACATGAAAATATAACTCCCCATGCTTTAGTGCACTTGTTTCTGGATATTGTCAAATTAAACGGACCAAACAAATCTACCCCGGTCACTGTGAACGGTGGTGAATGAGGTTTTAATCTGTCAGCAGGTAAATCAGCCATAAGAGTTTGATGAACACTTTGACGGAGTTTCCGACAATTTACACAGTCTCTAATGAGCCCTTTCACAAAACATCTTCCGCGAATAATCCAAAATTTTCTTCTCACATCACTTAATGTCCGTTCGGCTCCACAATGTTTGTTTTTATCATGATATTCACGAACAATAAGTTTTGAAATGTAACACTCAGGTGTAAGAAGTACAGGGTGTTTTTCATCGTAATCCAATCGAGATTTACTTAAACGGCCACCTACTCTAACAATGTCATTTTTAACAAAAGGTGTTAAGTCTCGAAATCGATTCTCAAAATCTGATATAAATTCTTTCTGAGCATTACGAAGTAGCAAATTTTCAGCAGACTCTAATTCTTCTGGTTGTAGAACTCTCTCAGATTTTGACTTCTTAAGTAATTTTGACACGAAACGTAAGCAAAATGCTGTTACTCTTACTAATTTTGACCAATTTGAAAATCTTGCAATGT